ACCTTCAAATGGAGCAGACTCTCCTCGTAATAGAAAAGAGAAATCTTCATAATGAATTATAAACTAATGACTAATGTCCCCAAAGAAATCTGCTTTAATAGAAAAAGGAATTTTTGGGAGAGTTTTTGGTTTTTTTTTTTTTTTTTTTTTTTTTTTTTTGAGAGGTTTTAGCTATAGGGCGCGTGCACTCGCCAGACAGAGACAGAGAGACAGAAAGCCAGAAATCACCCCCCAGGGAGGATGGCCATGCTGCAATCCCTTTTCCTCCATTCTCCTCTCAGGATCTTGGGCATGCACGCACACGCTCCTGGCATGAGTTTTAAGCCACCGGGTCCAGGACATGAACCGCAGTCGAGTACATGGGAGTCCAGTGACATAGCCATTACACTAACTGCTGGTCCCGAGAAATATCACTTTTACTAGACATTTGTTTTTCAGGTTTTATCATCAATATAGCATGTGTCATATTATCCGTCTTCCCTTTGGTTAGATATACATAGCTGTTGTCATTGCTAAAAAAGCTAAGGAAAGGGGCGTTACTGCCAAATATATTTAGATATGCCACTGAGATCCCCAAGTGTGTCTTCCGTGAGGTCTAGAGTCTTATGACCCAAGTACAAGCCAGAACCTACCTTTTCAAATTCTTGGTATCCCCCATGAGAAGCCACCTTGGGAGGCTTATACTCGACATAACATCAGAGTTGATATTGTCCAGACTTTCCTGAAACTTTGACCCATGTCCTGGAAAAATACACTTTTTCACTTTTTTAACTCACATCATGTTTGAAACCCCAAATATAATACTCCCACTAAAACAATGACCATATTCACTAGAGTTGCATTTTCCTTACAGTGAATTTACCATCATGATTAAAAATAAAATAAAAAGTGGTCGAGCAGGTGGTGTGGTGGTGAAGGTGGCTGGATTCCCACATGGCCAACCACAGCTCTGTTCTCAAACATGGTGGCTTGAAAATCATGTGGGGCACATGTGTATACGTGCCCAAAGTCCCAAGGGGAGAATAGAAGAGAAGAGTTTGCATTATGGCTATTCACCGTCTCTGTCTCTCTTTCTCTCCAGGAAGTCCACATGCCCTCTGGCAAAAAACCTTAAAAAAATAAAAAATGAAAAATAAATAAAAAAGTAAAAGGCTCCTCTACATGTACTAAGGGACTTCTGAAATATTTTGCCTAGAATAATTTTGTCTAAGGAGAGCCCTGTTAGAGTAAGAATAAGGTCATTTCATGTGACTTCCTGAAAAGAGGTGGCATCATTTGTACTATAGCCACTCCTCACTTAATGACAAACCTGTTTAATGACCTCTTGCTTGGACTTACGACCAATTCTCCAACATGGAGAATCCCCTCTCTCAGTCTTTATCTCATTCACAGCATCAGTCAGTATTCACTAACTGGAACATTACAGTTTCACGAGACTACATATTTCTATAAATTTCTATTTTATTCTGCACCTATAATAGTATTCAGAATAAATAAACATGATTACATAGGATTTGTATTATTGTGTCATGGTACGTCTTGGTGCTTCCTGGACTATATCTAATATATGCTATTGTGTGGATAGAATTATATTATTGTAGTGCGATATCACATGATAGTGATTAGAAAATACCCTAGGACACCATGACAAGCCACAAGACATACGCCTTCAAGATCTTGACTTATAGACCAAGTTGCTAATGACTAAGTTGTAGGGACAGAACTTGGTTAATTTAGGAATGTTTGTATTGTTTGAAATGCAAGGAATTGCCATTTACATAGGCCACAAATGGTCAAATATTAGAATTTTACATGCTCAAACCTACATCTTTGGCATTTTTTTAAAAATAAAATAATTTTCCTTTATAGTCAAACCTCAGAGAGAGTAGCCTACCATGCTATTCACAGATACTCACTGAGAGAAGGCTAACTAACTTCATTCCCATCATCACAAATTAAGGTTTCCTGGAGAAAAAGCTGTTGCCATCATCTATGTTCTAAAATTTAAAAATCAGTGATAATGTGTCCTGGTTAAAACTTGAGTCCTGGAACCAGTCACAACTGGAATGCTCTGGTTGTGCTGTTTACCAGAAATATCACATGAGGCAGATTTCTTCATTTCTGCAAGTTTTGGTTTTCTTATCTCTAATAGGGAGCTAAAATAATCCCAACTTTTAAGGGTTGCTAGGAGAGTTCAGTGATATAGCATAGTTAGCTTATCATGGACAGAAGAACATAGTTAATGCACAATAAATAGTAACTAACACAACCACTCAGTAAGTAGCAGCTGATAAACTGAAGTCAATTTGATGCCCAACTGAAATGAGAATAGTAAATGGACTAAACTTGAATGACAACCTCTGAGGACCACAAGAAGATTTGAAACAAAATCTCTATCCTTAAGCAATTGGCATGGAGGAGGGAGGCTTAAACCCATCAATAATTAAAGCACATTACATTGTATCCTGTAATTAGGGGCAAAATTCCCTTATGAGACCTGCTCTCCCTTAGCATAGTAGAGTTGAGAGGGTTGGGTTAGATACTCTTGGGAGAAAGTCAGAACCCACTGGACTGATGGCTCTCCTCCATTCCACAGCAACCTGCGGAGGGGCGCTGAGCAACATGGGAGGAGTGATCTTGAGCCCGGGTTTTCCAGGTTCCTATCCCAACAACTTGGACTGCACCTGGAAGATCTCCTTGCCCATTGGCTATGGTAAGTGAATAGTTCTAATTCCTTCAACTTCAAGCTTTGCATGTCTATTTTGGAACAAATTAAGCTCAATAAAAAAAGTGTCTTTATTCTGTTGACATAACTGTGTCTTTAATTGAAAGTGGCTTACAGATTTAAATAAAGCTTTGGCAGAGTAACTTTGAGAACTAAGTTATTTAAAAAATCAATTCAGCCATGTAACTCTTTTCAAGGCAAATTAAATTAACTGAATGATGATATAGTAGGCACATGAAGTGCACAGTGTAGCCTCCCTAATGCAATTATCAGTCTCTTCATTTATAATGCCACCTTTCCTATCGATCTCTGGAATTCAGTGATGGTTATTATTTCTTCAGGATGATTTTGAAGGTTTTTTTTTTTATTGTAACGCATTTAAAATTAAATATAAGCCATATTTTGAAAAGATAGTATTGTTTGATCATTTTTATTATATATCTCATTGATAAGTTCATGAAAATGGTTTTTATTTAGTTATCAACCTTCAGGTTAACCACCTTAAATAATTTATAACTTTAATTGTTATAGGCACTGAAACTGCCTCTGGCCTCTCTTCAAAAATGCATAGTCTTTGTGAAGTATTGATTCCCTCTCTTGCCTTTCCTTGCCTCCCTCACATGTTTCTTGGTAATTTTGTTAATTTATTTAAGTTTCTTCCACCTGTGATTTTTCTCTAATGCACACACTGTAGGTAGACTAATGTAGGTATTCAGTGGCATCGTTTGAGGAAGAACAATAAAAGACAAAACCCATCTGTCCCAACTGTGGTGGCTTGCAGTACTAAGGTACTGCACTCTGTAGGCTGGGCCCATCTGGGAGACCTGAGTTCAATTACTGGTCCAGTGTAAAAACTGGGTGCAGTGGAATGCGCCTATAATCCCAGCAACTAGGGGAGGCTGAGACAAGAATATCGAGCTCAAAGCTGGGTTGGTAACATAGTGAGACTGTCAAAACAAGAAAAAGCTAAACATGGTGGTGCCCACCTGTAGCCCCAGCTGGGATGTGGAGGCAAGAAGAATGCAACATGGTGAGATTCTACTTTAAAAAAACAAGAATAGGGCCAGTAGGTGGTGTGGTAGTAGAGCCCCGGGATCCCAGATGGTCACTCCATGGTTGGAATTCCAGACGCTGTGGTTTGAAGAACATGCCAAGTGCATGTGTGTGCATGCACAAGATCCCAAGAGGTGAATGAGGAGAAGGGATTTTGGCATGGCCATCTCTGCTGAGGGATGATTTTTATCACTTTCTGTTTTTCTCTCTCTCTGGGTGAGTGTATATGCCCTATAGAAGAAATAAAACAAAACGAACAAACAAAAAACTAAAACAAACAAAAGTAATCCCAGAAACTATATTAGCTATTTTTTTGTGTTATTATTACACATATTTTCTACTTTTCTTTTAAAACTAATTAGAAACATTCTACTCATGAATGGGCATAAACATTGTCTTAACTTGTTCTCTCTCTTTCTCACTTTTTATTTTGTCAGAGAGTGTGTGTGTGTATGTGTGCTCATCAGAGACAGAGAGAGAGAAATGAGAAAGCAACCCCCTGTGGGGTGTGGTTACACCTCAGTCTCTCTTGATTTTTCCATCCCGTGGGACTATAGGTGCGTACACACAACTACCTGGGTTTTTTGGGTTCTTTTTGCTACCTGGGCTGAGATTCCAACCAAGGTCAGTCATCTAACTCCCTTCTCAACTTTACTGTTCTATCATTTCTGAGAATGATATTGTTTCCTATATTACATTTTAGTGTTCAGTTATAAACCATTATGTAAGAAAAGAACTTCAGTTAAACCAAAATATCAGAATTCATGTTCAGAATCTATAAATCTAAAACAAATTTATTTGAAGAAAGATTGAAATTAAAAAAGTATAAAATATCTTTAAAATTATGTTAATCCTTAAAAATACATAATATTGTGGGTGAGAAAATTTATTTGGTATGCTGTAATGAAACACAGTGATTCATTTAAAAAAAATAAAGGGGGGAAATGGTGTTCAAAGAAGAACTAGAAGAAAAGGCAAAAATGAAATTTTATCTCTTAAATTGTACCTGCATAAAAAATAGTAAGACTATCTCTAGCTTTTTAGAATACTGTTATGCTTCAGAATGATTTGCTATAGATTAATGTAAGTAAAGCACCTGATTTGCCTATGATTAATGTATGACCTATATAAATTTCTGAGTAAAAAGAAATTTGCTAGATAGGCATGTATGTTGTAAGTTGTGGCTGGTTCCCTGACATGGTGAGTATTTGAAGTTTTTTTTTTTTTTTCCCCCCAAGGGTTTTTTTTTTTTTTTTTGATTAAGTAATTCAAAGCACTTTGCAGATTCCAAGAAAATTTTACTACCTAGTTTTTAACTCCAATTTAGTTTCATAGTTGAAAACTCTTAATTAGTTCTATATATTTCTAGAGTTCTTTCATTTTCACCTCTTCTTTGTAATTTCTGTCACCCCATAGCTTCACACAGGACTCAAAATAACATCAAGACCCTTGCTCTCAAATGCCAAAGCACATCTCAGCTGCACGTAAAATATTTCATCTGGGTCATCTGAAGGCCTTGCAGTCGCAGCTGTAGATTCTCCTATTTGATTCCCCATTTATACCCACAGCATTACTTTTATCCCAGGTCCCTTTCCTTCCTCTGAAGCTTGTCTTATTTTTGGCAGTACGTTTTTCCCAAAATTTCCCAAATGATAAGCAAATATCATTTTCTCATGGAAATTTTGAAAAAGTAAGTTTGCAGTTGAATCGCAGTAATCTGCATTTGTTTGTCTAGCATTCTAGACGTTTCTTATACAAGAAGAAAAGTGGGGATATAGTAGAGGTATATCTTTTTATTATAATTTCTCCCTTGTTTAACCTCTCATAAGTTAATTTTGTATTTTATTAGAGCTCAAACTCTAGAATGATTCTGGCATAGTCCATGTAATGACAGCTCAAGAAAGGGCTCCTGATTTCCTAGTGGGACAAGAAGGGAGACTGGAAAGGTAGGGCAGCTGTTGCTGCCAATGTCACAATAAATGTCTTACCTGTCTTGTGCTGTGATGATCTTGGTAAGCAAGTTGGAAAATAAGACGAAAAAGGCATTTCCTCCTTAACGCTAAGGAAAAGCATATATGCTATAAATAGCTTGCGTAAGTAATTATGTTAGATTTAACCAGTTCTTCCTACTGATGGTACAAATGACATAATACAGTCACTACCCTGCCCTTTCCTTATATTTTCTGCGTGTGTGTGTGTGTGTGTGTGTGTGTGTGTGTGTGTATATGTAAAGTGGCCTTCTATTAGCCCTGTCTCTTCCATGATGTTCAGAAAACAATATTAAGTACTTTAAAAACAATGTTGTTTTTTTTGTATATTTTCATTTGTTTGTTTTTGTATTAACTCTGACAATTTCATCAAGTAAATGGAAATGGTAAGAAATTTGCTTATTTAAGCCCCAATATGAATGACTTCTTTGTTAGGAATTACATGTAGTTAAACTTGGAACCATAAGTAACAAGGAAAATGGTTTCTTAGATGAGGTTCGTGCATTTTACTGTGTACAGGAGGTATGGGTGGAGATAGAGGGTTACACCATGGATCCCCAAGACCTAGGTCCAGATGCTCTGATTCAGTGTGTCTGGATGAATGAGCTGAAGAATTCTGCACTTACACAAAACACCCCCAGTTCATTGGATGCTAGATTCAATTTCAGGAAACATTTGGAAGAGTAGTTTCGATCTAAGTAAGATGAGAAATGCAGTTTCTTATAAGAATCTTTAAAAAAAATAAAATTATTTATTTTATTTTTATTATTATTTTAGTTTACTATAGGGCACATGTGCTCTCCAGAGAGAGGGAGAAAGTGGGAAAGCAAGCTCCCAGGTCCAGGACTCTAACTATGGTCAGTCATGTAAGAGCCCAGTACCTCAACCACCACATCACCTGCTGGCCTCCTCTTATAAGGTTCTTACAAGTATTGCTTATTTAGGATAAATTGCTTTGGGGTAAAACAAATGACTAAAGCATGGGATTTGGGCAAATTTGAAATAAAAAGAGAATACTGAGTATAAAATGGCATGATAAATCAAAATTTTAAAGTGAATTACCGAAACAAACAAACAAAAAATTCTACTATTCTTCCTGAGTAATTTAAATGCAATTTCTATTGTTTAAAAATTGTCTCTAGTACTAAACACACATATTTTCTGTTTCCTTGATTGTGAGTTTTGGAATCTGGTTTCTCAGAACATAGCTGCTATAGTGGTAAGAGTGGGACTAGGCCCACGGCCACAGGCAGTAGGGTTACTGCTATGCTGGAAGCTACATGGGAAGGCCCAGGGTTCAGTTCCAGGTCTACCTGAACTTAAAACAAAAATCAAGTGACGACAGCTCCTCTAATTACCCTGAATAATATTACTGACTTCTGAGGAAAAATATATTTGAAGTCTTTTATTCCTGAAGGATTTTTATTGGGTTTTAAGACTTGATCGAATCTTTCTATATAACTGGATGTATATGGGATCGATAGCTAGATGATCCAGTCTACAAGTTAAGCAGCTACCATCTTAGTCAAATAATTCTTTTGATGAATCCAACCCCCACCCTGTCCCATGACTGTAGCTCAATCAACAGTTCAATTAAATAGACAAAAGTGATGGGTTGCTTTGGCATCTTATGAAAACCCACCTTTGTCTTACTTCTCTAATTATTCATTCTGGCAACACCTGTTTTCCACAGCCTGCCTCTGTGACACAATATAACTCCTCTCTTGAAATGATCAAAACCATTCTGGCTGAAAGGACTTGAGCAGTATGCAATATTTGTGGTGTTGGCTCAGAATTTGTGCTCTGAGTTTGACTGAATGGAGACCTCGACTCAATTACTGGTGTTATAAACTTTCACAAGTTACAAAAATGATTTTAAACTGTTTCTTCTATTTTTAAAAAATATATCTGTCTCTTAGGGAGGCTTTGAAGCAATGTAAATGGCTAGTGTAAAGGCATTACTTAAGCATTAACTTTAATAGCTTAACCAAATTCTCCCACGTTTTTATGTCATTTTCTTTCCTTTTCACTGACTTGGGTTGCTATTTTCTGTTGCTTTGGCACATTTCAATCAACTCAAAAGTTCTGTCTCTATTTCCTTGAAAATGGCTAAGGGCTCAATTAACAGAAATATCACATTTTTTTCTACTTTATCGTTGTCTTTTATGATGTAAAACAATGACACTAATACTGCACATAGTACTGTCCAAAATTACTATGCCTTTGGACCATCTGAAAGCATAGGCCAATATAAGAGTCTTCAGAACAGTCACTAAATTCCTTAACTATGAATTCACTCATTTTCTATGTGTTTATTACATATTGAAGATGTGAAAACAGCACAACCAATATTTGTAAGTTTTATCAACTAAAAACAAGGCTTTAACTCTGAAATAATTGTCATATTACTATTAAAATTTTTGTCAAATCCCAAAGGCAAAAAATTCTTTGTGGAGGTGACTCTTTTCTGGCAATTAATTTTCAATATGTAACTATAATCAGATGAGAATTGGCTGTGTAAATTCCACCAAAGATAGACGTTCAGATTGCTTTCCTTGTTGGAACAGTGTATTTCTCTCTCTCTTAGTTTTTTTAAAAGCCTTCTATGAGATAATAAAAGGATAACTAGGTTATGCTTATTTTAATCCCTTCATTTGGGCTTTATGATGTCAAACTGGAAGCAATTCGCTGAAAATTAGATAGCTAAATAATTCTATTTTAAGCCAGATTAGAGCTAGACTCTGTTCTATTTCCTGATATGTATTAGGTGTTTGATATGTGGCTGTATAATTTATCCTGCTTAAAATGATAATTTTGTTCACAATATTATAATTGTCATAATTCCATTTCCATTTCAAGTTTAATTCCAGATCAGTAAAAAGCCACTGTCACTATATCCTATACTTTTGAGACATTGGCCATCTTCAATTATTCCACTCCTTGATCTGCTTGCTGTCTTTCATTTCTTTCGAGGCTCTGTCATTCCGTGAATTTCAAAATGAGTGTCTGGATAAATATATCTAAAGTCTGCATATGCATGTCTGAAATGAGCACATTTTAAGCCCTGCTACTTGATTTTAAATGGTCTAATCTTGCCCTAGTTTTCCATCCCATCAGCTGCTTTTTGGACAGAAATAGAAATGTCAGTAACTCAACAGGTTGATTTTGGCTGTTCTTGTGTGTGACTTTCTTGTTTCTACCTTGTAGTGACAAATATGGTGGATATTTATGAAACTCAGTTTCAATGTCTCTTATGTAGTCACACAAAAAGGATTCTTTAGTATAGTTTATTAGTAACAAAACTCTTTTATAAATTAGATCTTTGAGCCAAACTACAAAAGAAAACTGTGCTTTTAGTTAAGCCATGGATACGGGAATAAATAAGGGAACAAATTATACACGGATGTGTCATCTACTAGTGAAACTGTCATAGCAGTCCATTGGGTACAATTCAGAATAGAGACAGACATAGATCCACTAGCTCACATTTTCTTCCACTTTCCCTCCCCACTTTTTTCCCTCCCCGCTTTTTTTCCTCATGCTTCTAATTTCTTTTGACTGAAAATATTTGCTGGGCTTAAGTTCATTGATGGCTATTCAGTGAAGAGCAATAGTTGACATTTTAGAATACACACACACACACACACACACACACACAAATGTTTTCAAGTTAAAGAATTGTTTCATCTTTCTTATATGTAGTATATCATATCAGAATGGCCAAGGCAACCAGAAACTGGAATATTTCTTTCCTGACTGCTGATATGCTAGTAATGAATAGGCCTGGACCATGTATATGACGCTAACTGCTCATCTTACTGGGTATTCCAATTTTGCTCCATTTCTTAGAGATCTTTCTTTTCCTTCTGTTTTTGATTCCTCAGCTTATTTCCAAGATTTCCACATACTGTTTTCTTTGTTAGTTCTTTTTCAATTTAGTTTGAACAAATTTAACACAAACCAATATTCTCCAAGAAGTGCAATATCTTTAATACCATGAGATTGTTAGTTCCCATCTGATCTCTTTAGATGCTGTGCCAGAAAATGTAAGGACTTTGTCGGGCAGAGCTTGGTGGAAACCTAGCTCTTCCCTGTCCTGTGCTACACTAGACAAAATGCCTAACATTTCTGGACCTTAGTTTGCTTATCTATAAAATTATGATTATACTGATTATCTTGCTGGGAAAGAAGTTAGTAAATTGGATCCCAAGTCTAGCAGTTGGCCTTACACCGTGCAAACCAGAAAGGGCCACTACTCTCTCACTCTTCTTCACAAAGTTTTATCCTTAATTAATAAAATAGTTTTTCTTTAGTTTGACTATGAACATCATTGAGTACATTTAAGTTTTTCATTCCAAACCTCTTTAGCTTGAGACTATTTTTCCTCCCTTTTTCACTGAATTCTGGCTTTTGATAACTGCATTTTTCCTAGACACAAGTATCAATGATAAATTTGCTTAAGTTTTTGTATGCCTGTGCACTTAACTAGATGTACAAGTCAGCATTATCTTTAATTTTCTTATTCTATAGCACATAATATGCCAGACAAAAAAAAAATAAAGCTCTTCTTGCCTGTCAAAAATGAGAGAACAATACAAAGTAAAGTTTTTGAAAGATATTCTCAAAGAGCTATTGGTATTCTCAGCTTAATCTTCACTGTCCAATTTAATTGCTTGGATTTAGGCAAAGGCTAATGTCTTTGGATTTCTATATAAGCTATTTAAATGAATTAAATATTTTAGACACAGTAGTCAAATGAATTTTCAAAAGTGACATAATACCATACCGAACAACTCTACGTTACTTCCACTTTCTTCTAAATTGCCAGTTATAGCTGATTTAGTACACAGATCAATATGATGCTAGAGATCTTGGTCATTTGAACAGTCTTTTGGTATGTTGAGCTGTGCAAAGCTGTTAAGATTTTACCGTCAGAGTTATACTGGACTTTATTAGATTGTGTTTCTTCTGAACATCAACAATTGACTTGGCATGCATACCATGGTTGATGATAGTCACTTGCTAAACCAAGAAATATCTTTTGCAATGGTATGATCGACCAGTTAGATTAAAAGTCATTTTTAGTATTTCTTTATTATTATTTCATGGTCTTTATGGTCTTTTATACATTCAATTGCATTAGCTAGCTTACAAAGTGAATATTCCAACATGTGTACATTTCTCTCTAGATCAATTGATAATACTATAAAATTATCTTCAACAAATAATACCACATTTCTTTATCCCATTAATTCTTTGCCTCTCTATTTTTCTTCTAAATGTCACTTTAAAGTTTGCTGTATTTTTTAGCCCAATATTGGCTTTTTCCTTGATAGAGCCATAAATTAACTTTAGAGAACAATCTTATATTTAGTGTTATAATTCTTAAAGCAATGGACAAAAATCATGCATTTGTGTGCTAGTAACCATTCTATGAATAATGCCTATATGTCTCTGTGCTGTACTGCTACCGATAGTCGTAGTTCACAAACAAATTGACTTATGGATATTCATTGCAGGAACAAAGATCATGTAGCTCATAGTAGGGATATACTCCCCAGTTGAACCCAGTTGCTTTGTAATCCAAGACATGCTCTTCTCCAATATACTGTTCAGTCTTAAAGAGAGATACTCTCTGTGGAGGTTTATATGGTTGCTTTCAATAAATATCAATTTTATGAATGTTGGTATAAATGCTCACTAATTTTGCATTTTTCCCATAGGTGCACATATTCAGTTTCTGAATTTTTCTACTGAAGCTAATCATGACTACCTTGAAATTCAGAATGGTCCCTACCACACCAGCCCCATGATTGGACAGTTTAGTGGCACGGATCTACCTTCAGCATTGCTGAGTACGACACACGAGACACTCATCCACTTTTACAGTGACCATTCCCAAAACCGGCAAGGATTTAAACTTGCTTACCAAGGTAAGTTTCAATAGATGAATATGCTAATTACATTTCAATCACATTTAAAAGTCAGTCTCCCTTATTGGTGGAAAACTTATACAGCCAAAATAATTTTTAGCAGAATGTTGGTTTCTTATTGGTGGAACCATTCCTGTTCAAGAGCATACAGGTAAAGACATAGGCAGGAAGGGGGATGTTCAGATATGGCTGTCATCTGAGCTTTACCCATTGTCACTTCCCACCATCTTGCACTTGCTCCCATGGCTGTCCTCACAGACCTGCCTGACCATATAGCCAGGCCATCACAGAGTTGTCTTATTTGTCACTGTATCTTCTACTACAGATGGGACTCCATTCATGGCACAGGGGATCACATAAGATGCAGAGCGTCACGCCATAATGGAAGTGGGTCTGAAAGTATCTTTCTGCATATTTATACCTTCTCTTAGCACAAGATAATGGTCATATAGACTGTTCAAACTATGTCAGGAAAAAATAGACAATGTAATGACTAAACTTTATTCTTATTTTATCCATCCAAATGTGCAATCTCGAAGAAAAGTTTGGATCAACCATTATCAGAGCATTTTTGACATGTGAAAAAGTTCAACATTTCATTTTATGGAATGTAATTTAACTGGCCTTTTCTTGAATATTGCTAAATCAAATGAAGTGAAAATGTCAAATCTAGGGCTTATTTTTTTTTAATAGCTAAATCACTTGCTTTCTTTAATTTCACAGTTTGACCTCAGAAATATATTTTATTACTGTCAAAGGCAAGTATTCTAGATTGAACTCATAGACATTGTTGCTTACATTCTCAGCAGAAGTTAAAATATAGACATAGATTTAACAATAGAGTTCTCTTAAAATAAGAATCGATGGGACCAACAGATGGCAGAATGGTTATATCACTTAACTCCCACATAGTTGACTATGGTTTGAATCCTGAAGCTGGTGGCTTAAAACTCAAGCTGGGCATATGTGTATGTGCCCAAGATCCTGAAAGGATAATGGAGAAGGGATTGTAGCGTGTACATTCACACTCGGGGATGATTTCTTGCCTTTCTGTCTCTCTGGGGAGTGCATTCACCCTATAGCAAAAAATGACTCTAAGGACAATAAAGAGAGAGAGAGAGACAGAGAATCAAGTAGGAGGAAAACAAAAAAATAATCCTAGATTTGTAAACAGTGTATCTATAAACATTGCCAGAATTTCTCTATGATACATCGTGATTTTCATCATTCTCCATCTTTATTTTTACCCCCCACCCCCAGCAAACAGTGCTGCTTCCTATTTGAAAGTCACTAACACACATACACACACACAAAGGACATAAGAGAGGAAGCAACTTTCTACCACTAGGTGCAGATCTGCGTGAACACCCACCTAGTCTGCTCGTTTTCTTTTCTTTTTTTTTGGAGAGGTTTTTGCTATAGGGCACGTGCATTCACCAGAAAGACATAAACAGAGCGACATAAAGTGAGAAATCACTCCCCAGAGGGGATGGCCATGCTGTAATCACTTCTTTTCCATTCTCTCAGGATCTTGGGCACACACGCACATGCGCCCGGCATGAGAGTAAGCCACCAGGTCAGGGACTTGAACTGTGGTTGACTACATGGGAGTCCAGCGACATAGCCATTATGCCAAATGCTGGTTCCTCTGCTCCTTTTCATTGCAAATGTAAGAGAATCATTTTCCTATGTAAAGAAATTCCATCTGCTGCTCCAGGTATTTCTTTCTACTTTGTCAGAGACATCAAGATAGGAATTATCATCTACTTCTGCATTTTGAGCTAAGACCACTCTATCAGATCTTTTCAATAGTGTTTCCATTATATTCCCTCTCTCTCTCTCTCTCTCTCTCTCTCTCTCTCTCTCACACACACACACACACACACACACACATACAGAAGTGTGTTCATGCAATCAGTGATAAGTATAATTGTGAAAATTCAGTTTTGGTTAAATTTTTGAACTAATTTGAGTTCTACAGTTGAATCACATCCCATGAATCAGTGACTAGATCTACTTAATCTTCATGGGAAAACACAATCCAGGGTCTTCTCTACAAATCAGCTCTCTTTGACTGTAAATTATGAAAACCTAACTCAATCTAGTTAAAGAAGTATAAGGTTACCACTGGATGGACTTAGGCTTAACTGGAATCTAGGCCTTAATGGCATAAGGATTCCATTGTCGCAGTTAGGTCATCAGGAAACTCATGATGTATTTTTCTGTTTTTCTATACAAAAATGTATCATGACTTTCCCAACAACCCAATAGTTTTCTTAATCATCTTTTCTAATATACATGGGGGATATAACCCAATCTAAATATGCTTTAGTCATCAAAGACAAGAATCCTCTTCTCCTAGAACAATTGGTAAACATTTTAAAGCCACCATCTTAGTAGGGTAGATAGATAATGTGATCTACCTCTGTCCCATCATGAGACCAGGTGAATAAGTGTTATGCTTTAGCTCAGCTGGGGTCACACGGGTCAGAAAATATGACTGAAATTGATAAACTTTATCAAAATACATGGTTTGTGGACAAAGGAGTAATTTTCTTTATGAAGGGGCCTGGGAAAATAAACAAAATATGCCATGAATCCATCATCTAACTGAATTAAAACTATGCATAAATAATACATTTGTATTCAGACCTTCATTAATGTTTTTGCCTACACATCTGCATTTGCTCTTTAAAAAACATTTTCAGTTGTCTGAAAGTGCTAATTGTTTCTGTTTCACTATATTAAAATAATGGCTGGTTCCAGCAGGTGGCATGATAGTTAAGGTGCTAGATTCCCACATGGCTGACCATAGTTCAAGCCCCAGACCTGGATGCTTGAGTTCTCTCTCTCTCTTTCTCTCTCTGTCTCTTTCTTTCTCTCTCTGGTTAGTACACATGCCCTACAGCAAAATTAAAAACTAATAATAATAAATAAAAATTAAATATTTAAAACAAATAGTGGCAATAGTAAATTTCATTGAGCACTCTGTGCCACAGGCTGTGCTTGATTTTCACATCAATTCTAAGGTATGTTATTCACATTTTACAAACGATGAAACCAAGGCTCAGGGAGGTTGACCAAATTGTAGAAATCTGAACCACTATGTGTAGAACAATGATTTAAATCTAAGTCTGTTAGATGCCAAAGGAGTAATTATCAACCAGCTATTATATTTCTAATGAAGTTAGGGAAATGAGAATATCTTTGGTCTCTAAATTGAATCCTTTAATCACAGCATCAATTCCAAAACAATGTTTAAACCTAATGAAGTAAGTTTTAAAAGCCTGATTTTCTCTCTCAGTTAGCATAACCAGTCGATCATCCATGAACTGCAGAAAGTCAGCTCCAGGGAAAACTCCAATCATTGATTTCAGTGTGTAGACATGACACCTGACAGATTCACTTACTCATCTCCAGTTTTGTGGTTGCTAAAATAGCTTTGTGAAACATCAATGAGTCAAAGATTCTTTATAAATCCATGGAGCACATTTCTTGGATTTGGATATCAGGTGTTACCTTGTGTGGTGTGGAATCCAGATGTCAGCTATGGCTCCTTGGCCTCTTGTAGATACAGGTAAAATTACTCAGTAACTACACCATTTTATAGCCTCTAGAAACTCTCCCATGATTTATCTATCAAATATTTATAGCATTTTCTAAGAGTTTTATAGAGTTATAGTTTATATAGCATTTTGTAAGCGCTATATGCTTCCCTCTCCAATGCTCAAGGTCTATATGACTATCTTTTACAATTCCCAGTGGCTTAACATTTTCTCTAAGGCCAAAGTACTCACAACTCCTCTAAGTGTAAAATACTCAACAAATCCCAGCTTAGTAAGAAAAGACTTCATTGGGGAAGATTATTGCAAAAGAGGAAAAGTGTATTCTAATAGGGGGATGAGAGCTATGGCAGTTGGGAGAAGGCTCCAATGCTCATGAGATCTGTCAGTGTCCCAAGGGTTAGCAGAAATGAGTCATCCATTAAAAAGTGACATAATCAAAGCCGAGAGAACTAGGTGTGGAGGAGTAAGGTGGACAGGAGTTGGCATGATGGACTGTCCATCAAGGAATGTGTTACTCCAAGGCCAACCTACTCCCTTGAGTTGGTAAAGAGGAACTCTATACTGGGTCAGGTCGAAGGTGGCCCAATATTCAGAGACCTGGGGTAAAGAGAGAAGCCCAACCAAATTTGGGTTAACAGGCATTTGTTTCTATTAATCAGTGTGGAAAAGTGTTTAGTTAACTTTTTAAAAGACAGTGGAAGTTTGGAGGTCATTAGTGAACCTTAAAATAAGAATCGATGGGACCAACAGATGGCAGAATGGTTATATCACTTAACTCCCACATAGTTGACTATGGTTTGAATCCTGAAGCTGGTGGCTTAAAACTCAAGCTGGGCATATGTGTATGTGCCCAAGATCCTGAAAGGATAATGGAGAAGGGATTGTAGCGTGTACATTCACACTCGGGGATGATTTCTTGCCTTTCTGTCTCTCTGGGGAGTGCATTCACCCTATAGCAAAAAATGACTCTAAGGACAATAAAGAGAGAGAGAGAGACAGAGAATCAAGTAGGAGGAAAACAAAAAAATAATCCTAGATTTGTAAACAGTGTATCTATAAACATTGCCAGAATTTCTCTATGATACATCGTGATTTTCATCATTCTCCATCTTTATTTTTACCCCCCACCCCCAGCAAACAGTGCTGCTTCCTATTTGAAAGTCACTAACACACATACACACACACAAAGGACATAAGAGAGGAAGCAACTTTCTACCACTAGGTGCAGATCTGCGTGAACACCCACCTAGTCTGCTCGTTTTCTTTTCTTTTTTTTTGGAGAGGTTTTTGCTATAGGGCACGTGCATTCACCAGAAAGACATAAACAGAGCGACATAAAGTGAGAAATCACTCCCCAGAGGGGATGGCCATGCTGTAATCACTTCTTTTCCATTCTCTCAGGATCTTGGGCACACACGCACATGCGCCCGGCAT